GATTTTTTCCCAGTTTGTGGGTTTTATTTTCAGTTTGCTGGAGATTTCTTTTGACATGCAGAAACTTTTTAATAAGATGTGATCCCATTTATTGATTCTGGGAAGTAGTTCCCGTATGGCTTGATTCCTATTCATGAATTGTCTACCTACCCCTATGTCTTCAAGATGTTTACGTACTTTGTCTTAAAACTGATTTAGTGTTTCTGTTTTAATGTTCAGATCTTTGATCTATTTAGGTTTTAGGTTTTTTTTTAGTTTGTTTAGTTTAGTTTAGTTTAGTTTTTTAGTTTAGTTTTTTTAGTTTGATCTAGTTAGGTTTTAGTTTTTATCACTAAATATGGTGATAGGCATGGGTCTAGTTTTAATTTTTAGCATGTGGAGAGCCAGTTTTTCCAGCACCATTTATTAAAGAGACTGTCGTTTTTCCAGTAAACATGTTTGGCCCCTTTATCAAAGATAAGGTGGTTGAGTGTATTTGTAGTTATGGTTGTATATTCTAGTCTAGTCTATTGATCTTCAGATCTATTTTTATTCCAGTACCATGTTGATTTTATTACAGTAGCTTTGTAGTATAATTTCAAGTCACGGCTTGTGATGCCTCTCCTGCCTTGCCTTTGCTGCTTAGAATTGCCTTTGCTATTCTAGGTCTCTTCTGGTTCCAGATGAATTTTAGGAGTGATTTCTCTAGGTCTATGAGGTATCTTGATTGTATTTTCATTGGGATTGCACTGAATCTATATAGCAATTTTGGGAGAATGGCCATTTTCACAATATTTATTCTCCCTATCCATGAACAAGGGATGTTTTTCCATTTTTTTGAGATCCTCTTCAATTTCTTTTTTCAGGATATTATAATTTTCCCTGTATAGATCTTTTACTTCTTTCGAGAGATTAATTCCTAACTATTTCATTTTTTTTGGATGCTAGTGTGAAGGATGTCGCCTCTCTTAGGTATCTCTATGTAATTTTGTTGTAAGTGTAAGAAATGCTATTGATTTTTGAGCATTGATTTTGTATCCAGCTACACTGCTGAATTTATTTATTATATCTAGGTGTCTTTTCATGGGGGGTCTTGGGGGTTTGGGGGTCTTCTATGTAGAATATCATATCATCTGCAAATAATGATAATTTAACTTCCTCTTTTCCTCTTTTTACCATTTTATTCCTCTCTCTTGTCTAATTGCTCTGGCTAGTATTTCCAATACTGTGTTGAATAGGAGCAGTGATAAGGGACATCCTTATTTTGTGTGATTTTAAGGTAAAGACCTTCAGTTTTTGGCCATTTAATATGATGCTGGCTATTGGTTTGTCATAGATGGCCTTTATCATATTGAGGTAAAGACCATCTATTCCAATTTTCTATAATGTTCTTATCATAAATGAGTGTTGGACCTTATCAAAAGCTTTTTCTGCATCTATAGAAATGATCATGTGATTCTTACTTTTGGCTTTATTGATATGATGGATTACATTTATTGACTTACTTATGTTGAACCATCCCTGCATGCTTGGATGAATCCCACTTGGTCGTGGTGTAGAATTTTCTTGATGATTTGCTACATCCTGTTTGCCAATATTTTACTGAGGATTTTTGCATCTGTGTTCATTAGGGAGATTGGCCTATAGTTCTCTTTTTAGTTGAGTCTTTCTCAGGTTTTGGTACTAGAGTTATATTTGCTTCCAGAAATGACTTAGGAAGAATTGTTTCCCTTTGATTTCATTGAAGAGTTTGAGGAGTGTCAGCATTAAGTCTTCTTTGTATTTCTTATAAAATTCCGCAGTGAATCCATGTGGGCCTGGGCTCTTCTTTGTAGGTAAGGACTTAATTACATTTTCAATTTCATTAATAGAAACTGGGTTATTCAGTAGTTTTACATCTTCTTGACCCAGCTTTGGTACTTCATAAGTTTCTAGGAATCTGTCCATTTGGTCTGTGTTATCGAACCTATGAGAGTAGAGGTTTTTGAAATAGGTGTTGATGATCTTCTGTATTTCTACAGGGTCTGTAGTGATTTCTCCTTTTTCATTCCTTATTGCATGAATTTGAGATTTTTTCTTTCCTTTTTTAAATTAGATTGGCTAGGAGTTTATCAATTTTGTTTATTCTTTTAAAGAACCAACTCTTGATTCATTGATTCTTGGATTGTTTTCTTAGTCTCTATTGCATTAATTTCTGCTCCGATTTTTATGATTTCTTCTCTTCTTTTGGCTTTGGACTTGACTTGTTCTTTTTCTAGATGCTTGAGGTGTAGCATCAGGTAGTTTATTTGTATTCATTCTGTTTTCCTGATGTGGGAGCTCAGTACAATAAACTTTCCTCTGAGGACTGCTTTCATTGCATCCCACAGATTCCGGTAAGTTGTATTTGTATTTTCATTTGTTTGTAGGTATTGTTTAATTTCTTCTTTAATTTCCCCTGTGACCCACTGATTGCTCAAGCATGTGTTATTCAATTTCCATTTGTTTGTGGGTTTTTGCAGTTTCTTTTATCATTAATTTCTAGTTTCATGGTGCTATGATCTGATAACATGCATGGGACAATTTCAACTCTTTTGCATTTATTTAAATATTTTTTGTGGATTAATACATGGTCTGTTTTAGAGAATGTCCCATGTACCGCTGAGAAGAATGTATATTCTGATGTTGTTGGATGGATCACTCTTACACGTCTATCAAGTCCATTTGTTCACAGGTGTGATTCAGTTCTGTTATTTCTTTGCTGATTTTCTGTCTGGTTGATCTGTCCCTCGGTGTCAATAGTGTTGAAGATCTCCTGTTATAATTGTGTTATTATTAAACATGATTTTTCATTTCAATTAATACTTGCCTTGTATAACTGGGTGCTCTGGAATTCGGTACATATATATTTAAGATAGTTATCTCTTCCTCTTGAAGTTTTCCCCTAATCAGTATGTAATGACCTTTTTGATCTCTTAGGATCATTCTTGGTTTCAAGTTCACATTATCTGCAAACAAGATAGCTACCCCCTGCTTCTTTTGGGATTCCTGTTGCATGTAGTATTGTTTTTCATCCTTTTGGGTTAGATGGGTTTCTTGTAGACAGCATATGGTTGAATGTTGTTTCTTGATCCATTCTGCTAGTCTGTTTCTTTTAATTGGTGAATTGAGACCATTTACATTAATGGCTGTAACTGTTAAATATTGGTTTATTGTTGGCATGTTATCTTATTGCTGTTGCATCTTTATTTGTCCATACTGTTTAGTTGTCTGTCTTGTTTATTGGTTTTTTCCTATGTGCATCTAAAGTGTCTTTCAGTGTTTTTTTTTCAGGTTGGCTTGGTGTTCATGAAGTTCTTCAGCTGTTTTTTGTCATGGAAGTATCTTATTTCTCCATCCATTTTGAAGGACAGTTTTTCAGGGTACATCAGTCTAGGTTGGAAGTCATTTTTCTTTAGGATCTGAAATACTTCACTACATGCTCTTCTTGACTTCATTGTTTGTGTTGAGAAATCTGCTGTGATTCTGATAGGCTTTCCTTTATAGGTGATCTGTCTTTTCTCTCTGACAGTTTTTAATTTTCTATTTTTATGTTGAATTTGTGGGATGGTGATTATTATATGTCTGGGTATAGTTTTGCTTTGATTATAGCTACTTGGAGTTCTATATGCTTCACTAATCCTAATGTCAGTTTCTGGTCTCGTGTTTGGGAAATTTTCAGCTATTCATTCCTTAAATAGTCTCTTGATATCATTGTCCCCTTCTTTTTCATTTATCCCTATCAATCTTATGTGTTTTTCTTTGAGTCAACTTGCAGTGGTTGGATTGTTATTTCCTGATTCCTTGCTATTTTTAAGAGATCTTTCCTTTCCTGTTCATTAGCTGCAATCTTGTCTTCGAGATCTGAAATTCTATTTTCACTTTCATTGAGGTGTTTTTTACAACTTTCAATGTAATTTTTGATTTCCTGTATATCTCTTTGAATCTGCTTTATGTATTCTGTTTGTTTCTTATATTGTTCATCTAGGGACTCTATCTTTTTGCTTTGTTCCTCTTATTTTTTAACTGTGTCTTCTTTAGATGTGTTCAGCATCTCTGTCATTACTTTTATCATTTCTTCTTTTACCTGAAAGATTATTTCTCATTTGAATTCCTTTAAAGCTTCCTGGAGTTGCTTCTTTTTTCAGTTACTATTATTTCAGGTACTTCAGGCATATGACATGTATTTTCTTCTATGTACATTGGCTTCTAGGCTTTCTTGGGATGGACTGGATGTTTGAGAGTGCATCTTGATCTTTCATTTTGTCATTTTCCTATATTTCCATGTTTCAAGTGTTGTTCTAAAACTTCCCCTGGGCATGTTGGAAATTGACTCCTATGTCCTGGGCTCCTGGAACTCCTCTGGTAGTATAGCTCCCTCCTTGGGCAGCGAGGCCCCCAAATTAAAAGAAGGTTGCCAGGCTCCGTCAGGTAGGCCTAAAGCCTCCTCAAGCCACACAACTCCCCCCTCTGGCAGCAAAGCTCCCTAGACGGAAAGAAGACCACCAGGCATGGTCCAGGAAGGCCCAAATCCCGATAAGCCCAATCTAGTGTGGCTGCAAGCCCAGCAGGCCCCCAACTACCTACAGCAAGGATCTCATACTCTCCTGGGGATCGGATGTTGTGTAACCATCCACCTCCTTTGGTGGCAAAGCTTCCCAGGGTGATAGAAGGTCACCCCCTATGGCCTAGGTAGGCCTCAAGCCTCCTCCGCAGGCCTGCTCCCTCCTCCAGGCAGTGGCAGTAGTGCTGGTACTCTCCAGGCCAAAAGAAGGTCGCAGGCAAGGCCAGAGCAGGTTCCCACAGCTCGGCTCAGCTCCCTCCTCCAGGTGGGGCAGCTGCGGTATGCCCTCCAAGGCAAAGAGAAGGTGGTCAGCAAGGCCAGAGCAAGGTTCCCGCAGCTTGGCCCAGCTCATGATGCAAGTATTGAAAGTGTTAATCTCCATTGAGTTAATCCATTGATGGGTTCATAGGACAATGAGCAATTAGGAAATAGGGCCCAGTTGAAATAGGTCACTAGGGATATATCTCTGAAGGATATATACTATCCCTAACCAGTTCCTCCCTCTCTAACTCTTTCTGCTTGCTTGACTCCTTAGCAGCCATGAGCTAAGCAGCTTTCTTGACATGCCATTTCTTCCTTAGTGCCAGCAAGTCATAACCTGAACATTTGAAATTGTGAGCCAACTGTTTCTCTTAATTTATGTCATATAGTTTGTCCCAGCAAGGAAAAGCTGACACATTCACTAGCCACTTAAAGGCTGGCCAAAATCCCTAGACAGAATACAAGAATGCAAATCCCACAACTCTACCTGAGTGTAATATTCATATTTGGTCCAGTATAAAAACATTTCAGCAAATTGAAACTCTAAAATTATATGACTGGGGTAGGGGGTGTTCCACAATATCAGAAGGCCGTATTTCCCTCTGGACCTTCAGAATTTGTTGTTTGTTTGCTTACCTTGATGTAGATCTGTAAAATTTTCTGTACTGAGAATTTTGGCAGCCAGGTATCCCTGAAAAGCCTTCACTTGAGCCCAACAAAGATGTTTCACAATTTCACAAAGATCTATCTGACCATTGTGTGTACTTCCCTACTAGAGCTCAGCTAACTCCAGTTAGTCTGGTACTATGTACTGAGCTGAAGGAACTTTCAAAATAAGATTCAGAGTGGCTGCTAAGTTTGTCCAGATAACAGCAATGCAGAGCCAGCAAGTCAGGTGCCAAGAGGGAACCTTTACATATCAGCCCGGAACCTGCCCTCAGCAACACAGGAGAGGTACCCTGGGAGAGTTGCTGCAGTCCCATTTGGGTCAACAGCATATAACTGAACATAGTAGATTCACCTCTGTGTAAGTGCAAAACCAATAAGCACAAGATAGAGAAAGGACAGCAGGCTTATTGCATCAAATAAGAATCGCACTGGGGTTGACTCCCAGAGCAATGTCTCCCTGAACAAAGGAAGCATGGAGTTTTATTGGAGAGACTTACTCATATCCATACTAGAGAGATTTAGCACATGTAGAAGGGAGCACAGTTAAGGTCATACTTCCTACATTGCACATTTAAGGTGGCAGGCAAGACGACCTCTGGGGCAGAGAATTTAACATTATAACAAGATTATAATGAGCAAAGTTTACTCTTAGTCACCTAGGAGGGAGGCTGAGTGACTTTTGATGGTTTGACTGGTTCCTTAGGGTCTTCCTGGAGGCATTATCTGAAACAAATTGAAAGATGTTAGCAATCATCATGGGAGGCAGCAGCTTCTCCACCTCCCCCCCAAGTACAAGGACTTCACCCTAACAGTTCCTGCCTAGCAGCTAACAAACCTACCAGTTCTACCTGCTGCTCCAGGAGACCCCCACATGCATACCCAAGATGAGCTAGTTCTGGGATACATATGAGATGAAATGTTCCATTCCCTTATTCTTATGGGGCTAATTCAGACACATCAGTCATCTATGCATGTATTTCTGATGTATAGCCCTGCTGGGGCTGAAGATCACAGAAGGGCTTCTGTCCCTGCTATAACTCCTTCTGTATAATATTTAGCATATTATTTTTTAAAAAATGTTGCTCATGAAGGTTTTACCAAGGAAGGGAAAGTAAAGAAGCAGTGCTCTTTCTCTCCTTCAGAGAAGGGAAGACAAGAAAAATATCAGATACAAATTAGAAAAACAAATTTAAGTACATGGGGCTTTCTACTACAAAGCCTAAGTGTCTAGACTGGACTGATAAGGAACCTGGCTGGCAAGAAGCCCTGACCAACCTTCTTCCTGCAGATCCCTGCATTCCAAGACTTGGAGTCACCTGAATTTTCCTTCTCATGGCATACTGGGGAAGAGGTAGGAGATACTGACTGTAGATGAGCTTTGTCCAGGACCATACCATCTCAAGAATGCCAAGTGGAAATTCTGAAAGCTTCCAAATGTGTTCTGAGTACCTCTTCTGTCAGGTGCTAAGTACTCAGGATGTAGGCTATAGTCTCTGCTCACATGAGCTTCTAATTACAGGTGGCCAGGACTGGGAGGAACAGTGGTAGGCAGATTCTTGAGATGGCTTCAGAAGATACATCCACATATTAGGTAACTTAGGACTGTCCTGCCCTACTGTGGGGACAGAGTCATAGTCCTCTGCCAGTGCCCCTCCCCCTCAGAGACTGTGCCTTCTTCCTGCTGTTCTGGTGTTGATGTGACTAATGTTGTTGTTTGGTTCACAAATTCTTACCTCGAGCTCTGAAAACAGCAGACATGTGAAACTGTATTCTGTGAAGAAAAAAAAATCCTTCAGGATTTTTTTAATGAATTCACACCCACCATAGTAGGCAGGACTTTGTCAGACCTTGGATTCAGCAGTCAATACAACCCATCACATGCTTTACTCAGACTTCAGTTTCAAGGTTTCTTTTATATATCTTTATATGTAATACTATAGCCATTCTAATTACTCGATTCCTGTGTTCAGTTTACAAAATTTGAGTAAATTATATAAATGGTGCCAGGTAGGTTAAGGCTGCTATAAAAATTTATAAAGAATTTGTCTTTGCATCTTGAAAGAAGTCTAAATAGAGTCAAAAAGACTGGAGCTCTTTAATTTGTAGTGTTGGGCAAGCTACCAGCCCAATGTGGGCTTCCTTTCTTGTCTGTAGCATTAAGGAAGAAGAAATGTAGGTTTAAAAAGAAGAAAATAAAATCAAAAGTCTCTGTCAGCACTTTGACCAAGCCAGTTTGTGGCTCTTATCTGGGAAGCAGAAGGGTGTGTGCCAGATAATCAGAGTAATGGGAAGAATGGTTCCTATTTCAGGGTATGGGCTATGAAAAGTATTTCTCCTCTCCCAAGACTTGCCGATGTCTCCCTGTAAGTGACTGTAACATCTGCGTAGTAGAGGTTCCACTATGAAAGCAAGAATCATTAAACGTGCTCTTTCATTCTCAGCCTGAGATCAGCTATACTGACCTAGCACAGTGCAGAGCCCTGATAGGAGAAATCAGAGCTGTCAGTTTACAGTGCCTGATGGCAGTGCAAACTTTGAGAGTAGGAAATAAAACTTGGGTCTTACATTGATTTCCCAGTAGCTTTAGGTGGTCCTTCCTTGTGTGGAGGAGGAATCCCACTCCCCAAGATAGCACGGCTGTCCCCCATGCTCCTTATAGGGCCTGTAATGGGATTGAGGTTTGATTTCTTTCCCTCCAATTCAGATAAGAGATAACCCATTTTATCCAACATCCCTATGTCAGTACCATTTTCTGTCATTCCTCTCTTGTACAGTCTTGTGTTGTTTTACTGTTTTTTTTTTCTTTAAGTTTACTGGTACAATGTAGATATACATAATGATGACATTCATTATACAGAATTTGTACCTGTACACAATCTATCTTAGTTCCTCTTTTTTCTCGTTCCCCTGCCCTTTCTTCAACCCTCTCCCCTCTTTATGTACAAAGCTTTGTTTCCATTTTACCCATTTTTTCTCATTCTCCTTTCCCTTCCATCCCCCACCCTAATTTCCCTTTTCTTTTAAAAATTTCTATTTCACAAGGTCTATTATACATTGTGCTTCTTATTTACACTCATTGAGCTATAAGTGTCTCAAGTTTATCCTTTATGGCAGAATTATACTCCATTATATAGAAAAACCTCATCTTTATCATTCCTCAATTGATGAGCATTTGGGTTGTTTCCAGGATTTAACTATTACAGTCTGTGATGCTCTAAACGTGGGTGTGCATATATCACTGTGGTATGATGCTTTTAATTCTTTAGGAAGATACCAAGAAAGGGAATAGCCAAGTCAAATGGAACCTTTAGTCCTAGTTTCTTAAGGAATCTCTGCCCTGATATCTACAGTGGTTGCACAAGTCTACACTCCCACCAGTAGTGGAGAATGGTGCCCTTTTCCCCATAGTAGCCCTGCCATCATTTGTTACTGGTTGATTTTTTTGGTAGTAGCCATTATTTCTGGGGTAGATGAAATCTGTTTTAATTTGCATCTCTTGAATGACTAGTGATGCTGAACATTTTTTCATATATTTATTTACCACATGTACTTCTTCGGAGAAGTGTGTGTTCATTTCAAATAATCATTTTTGGGTCTTTGAACTTAAGGGATCTTTTTTTTTTTCATTTCTTTAAATGTTTTCAATATTAGGACTTTGAGAATCAAATAGCTAAATTTTTTTCTCACTCTGCAGCTGGTCTTTTCACTCTGTTGATTTCTTTTGCTATGCAAAAGATTTTTGATAAGGTGAGATTCCAGTTATTGATTCTTTGTGGTATTTCCTATGCAGTCTGAGTTTTGTTCGTGGAGTCTTTGCCTGTACCTATGTCTTCAGGAGTTTTACCAATTCTCTCTTACAGAAGACTTAGTGGTTCTGTTTTATTATTTAGATCTTTGATCCATTGTGATTTTGGTTTAATGCATGGTAATAGACATGGGTCTAGTTTTAGTCTTTGGCATTTGGAAAGTCAGTTTTCCCACACTACTTATTAGAGACTATCTTCTAGTGAACATGTTTAACCCCTTTGTAAAGATAAGATGGATGAGTGTGTTAGAAGTTGTTTCTGCCTCTTGTAATCTGTTCTATTGATCTTCCGGTATGGTTTGTTTTTTTGTTTTTGCCAGTAGTATGCTATTTTTTTTCATAATACCTTTGTAGTATTTCAAATCAGGGATTCGGATGCTCCCTGCTTTGCGTTTGTTGCCCAGAATTATTTCTGTTGTTTTAGAAATCTTCTGTTTCCAAATGAATTTTAGGAATATTTTCTCTAGTTTTGTGAGGTAAGCTAATGGTATTTTGATTGGAATTGCATTGAGTCTGTATAACCATTTTGCAAGTATGGCCATTTTTACTATGTTGGTTCTTCCTGCCCCAGAGCAAGGAACATCTTTCCATTTTCTAATATCTAGTTCTATCACTTCTTTCAGAGTACTATAGCTTTCAATGTGGAAATCTTTTACTTCCTTTGTTGGACTGATTCCAAAGTACTTCCATTTTTTTTTTAAGTACTATTGTGAAAGATATAGTTTCCACAGTTTATCTTTCAGTCAGTTTGTCATTTGTGTACAGGACAGCTATTGACTTGAGTGTTGACTTCGTATTCAACTATTAAACTGAATCTGGTTATTAAATCTAGAAGTCTTTTGGAGGCAGTTTTGGGGCCTTCTATGTAGAATATCATGTCATCAGCAAATAAAGATAACTTTTTTCTTTCCTATCTTTATTCACTTTATTTCTTTCCCTTGTCTAATTGCTCTAGCTAATGTTTCTAGAACTATAGTTTTTTTGTTTTTGTTTTTGTTTTTGTTTTTTTTTCTGGTGCTAGGGATCGAATTCACGACCTTTCACCTACCACACAAGTGCTTGAGCCTCTGAGCTAAGTCTACAGCCCCTCTAGAACTATATGAACTATGAGTAGTGATAGTGGACATATCTGTTGTTCCTTATTTTAGAAAGCTTTCAGTTTTTGCTGTTTACTATGATGCTGGCTATTTAATATAGATAACTTTATCAGATGGCTTTTATCCAACTTTCTATAGGTTTTTTATCATAAGTAGGTGTTGGACTTTGTCAGATACTTTCTGCAAATATGGAGATGATCATATAGTTTTTGTCCTTGGTTAATATAGTATATTATATTTATTGATTTATACATGTTGAACCATCCCTGGAATTAATCCTAATTGGTCCTAATCTTATTGATGGTTCACTGCATTCGGTTTGCCAGTATTTTGTTGAGAATTTACACATTTGTGTTCATTAGGAGATTGGTCTATAGTTTTCTTTTTTGGTTGGGTCCTTCTCTGGTTTTGGTGTCAGGGTAATAATTGCTTCTAGGAATGACTTTGGGAGTATCATTTCTCTTTCTATTTCATTAAAAAATTTGATGAGTAATGGCATTAGATCTTCTCTAAATTTCTTATGGATTTTTTGTTTTTCTAGAAGTTTGAGATGCAACATTAGTTTATTTGAGCTCCTTCTGCTTTCCTGGTGGTAGAATTCACCACTAGTAATTTTTCTTCTTATGTCTGCTTCCACTGCATCCTATAAATTCCAGTGTTATATCAGCATTATCATTTAATTGAAGAAGTTTAATTTCTTTAATTTCATCTGTTACACACTGGTTGTTTGGGAGTGTGTTCATTTCCATGTTTCTTTTTATTTTAAAGAGATTAAGACAAAAGAGGACATAACAAAACAGATCAGAATATAACAATGTAAGCAACATAGTATTTCACCACAACACAACTTGTAATTAACAGTAACTACCATAATGTCTCTTTCTTTGAAATAGTTGAGCCATAACTTCATATACAATAGTATCAAACATAACAAACTAGTATAAAACCATTCAAGAGAATGAAAATATTACATGGCATTCAGAATCAAATAACAGAGAATGAACAATGGCTACTATATGATCTCATTTTCCATAGAAAATTTGTTTATACTATCACATATAATAAAATCTAATATGATACGATATGATAGAACCAATGGAAACAGAAGAACAAAAGCATGGTAGGACTTCAGAGTAAGATGATATTAAATCAGCACTGGCTTTTATAATTAATTTCCATGTTTTTACGGAGTTTTTGTTCTTTTGCCATTGATTTCTAATCTCATTGCACTATGGTCTGATAATATACATGGGATAATTTCAATTTCTTTGCATGTACTTAGGCATGTTCTATAGGTTAGTATGTGATCTTGGATAATATCCCATGTACTGAGAAAAAATGTGCATTCTGATATTATGAAGTGGAATACTCCATAAACATCTACAAAGTGCGTTTTTCACAGATTTGCTTCAATTCTGATATTTCTTTGATTTTGTTTTCTGGTTGATCTATTTCTAACAATGAGATATTAAGGTTCCCTATTAAAATTGTGTTACTGCTTATTTGATTTTTCATGTCCATTAATACTTATTTTAGGTGGTATATATGCACCTTGTATTTCATACATGTATATTTATGATTGTTATTTCTTCTTCTAGTAGTTTCCCCAGAAGTACATATGGCTTTTTCTCTTTTGGTCAGTTTTGGCTTGAAGTTCACCTTGTCTGCAAATACAATGGCTACCCTTACTTTTTTCCAGGTTCCTGTCTCATGGAGTATTTTTTTTTTCCATTCTTTGACTTTGTCTGTGAATTCTTTTGAGTTGTTTCTTGATCCATTCTGCCAGTCTATTTTTTTAATTGGTGAATTAAGACAATTTGCACTGATGACTATAACTAATATGTATTGGCTTGTCTTTGTCATGTAATTTTTCTGTTTATGGTTCCCTGTCTTTCCTTTCTGTGGTAATTGCTTCCCCTACCTGTTGACTTCTTTTGTTGGTACTCTTGGAATTGTGGGATTTGTTTTCTTTTTCTAGAATATCTTTCAGTACTCTTTGTAGCATTCATTTGGTTGTCATTTCCTCAGTTGTTTTTTGTCATGGAAGTATTCTATTTCTCCATTACTTCTAAAAGATAATTTTGCAGGATACATCAATCTGGATTAGAAGTTGTTTTCTCTCAAGGCTCAAAATACTTCACTCCAGTGCCAGAGTGGTGGCACATGCCTGTAATCCGAGCACTTGGGAGGCTGAGGCAGGAGGATCCTTGCAAGTTAGAGACCAACCTGGGCTACAAAGAGAGCTCAAGGCCAGCCTGAACTGCATAGTGAGACCTTGTCTCAAAAAGACCAAAAAAAAAAAAAAAAATTCATTCCAAATTCTCCTGGACTTAAGGGTTTGTTTTGAAAAGTCTATGGTTCTGATTGCCTTTCTTTTATTGGTGATTTCATTTTTCTCACAGTTTTCAATATTCTGTTCTTGGGCTGAATTTCTGAAATCTTACTACATGCTTGATTTAGAATTATTTTGGTCATGACTAATTGGAGTTCTCTATGCCTTACTTATCTGTATGTCAATTTTTTTTCCATGTTTGGGAAATTTTCTTCTGTTCTGCTCTAAACAGGTCTTTTTATGTTGTTTGTGCTGACTCCTACATTTTTCCATTGACTCCAGTGAGTCTTATGTTACTGTTCTTTGCATCATCTTGCAATTAGTTTTTTCATGGTCCTTTGCAATTTTTGAGAGAGAGAAAGAGAAAGAGAGAGAGAGAGAGTATGTGTGTGTGAGAGAGAGAAAGAGAGAAATCACTAATCATAATCTTGTCTTCTAGGTCTGACATTCTATCTTTGTTTCATACAGTTTTACAAATTTTGAATGGAATTTTTAATTTCCTAGCTATCTGTCCAAATCTGTTTTATGCTTTCCATTTTTTTCCTATGTTGGGCATTCATGGTTTCCATTATTTTCCTATGCTCCTCTACTTTTTTTTTTAAATCTATCTGCTCTAGATTTGCTGAGCAAATCCTTCATTGTGTCATCACCTCCTTTTTTACTTGTGAGATTATTTTTGTTTTGATATTCTCTGTAGCCTCACATGTATATATTTTTATTTCTCCTATTATCATCCCACTGAATTCAATTGGATGATTTTTTATTTCTTCTTCTTGTCCCCTCGATTCTTCCTTGGTGGGTTTGACTTTGCTACAACCAGTACAGGGAGTTGGGTCCTGAAAAGGGACAATAGAGGTTTAAGAAAAAACTGTAGATATATATTAAAAGGAAATCTGGGACTGAGTGGGATCTGACCTCACTGATGGAGAGGCAGCTACAACCCAGTATGACCTGCCTCTTCATTTGTGTACTGTAAAATGGGGGTGAGGGGGATGTAACAGAGCCAAAAGAACAAGGTCTCAGGGTTTTACTGAGAACACTAAAGGCAAAGCATTTTCAGTGCTATCTATGCTATAGTTAACAGGGAAAAACACCAAGGCCAGATACCTGCTGGACAGAACTTCCTCTAGTCGTGACAGCTTGTTTACATGGCTTGCCTGTGGAACTTCACGTTCCCAGAGTTGGCCTTGCTCTAGCCTCAAGGCATTTGTTGACCTCCAGCTCAGCCATTGCTCAGCTGCTTCCCACAAATAGTCTGGGATTGCATTTTGCTTCTATTATCTTCTCATTTTCCATTTTTAAATTTGTTTTCTGTGATAGTGTTTATATTTTTCTTATGTTAGGTAGCTTTGTCTCTGGTATCAGAGCTTCTACAGGAAATGTCTATTCCTTGAAGATGTCTTATATGTGTAACTGTCTATTCATCTTTGTCCCAACAGTCTATCTTATTAGGGATGAGATCTTGCTATTTGCCCAGCCAAAGGATAATGGGCTGTAACAATAATTGTGACCCCAAGTTATCACAGTGTTATCATACAACTGATTATAACAAGTATGGCATCTTGACTAATGTAGTACAGTTAGCAATAACAATATCTTCAAGCACAGCCTAAAAACTGATAATCTGTAGTAACTGCTAATTTGATATGTCTAACCATAGAAGCAAAATCTATAATTATATAATATCCAATGTAGACCAGGAATTTGTATGTATTGGATTTCCCCTTCGTTGGATGATTTTATCCTATAGGGAAGGGGAATTTAAGAGGGATAGGGGTCAAAACAGCAATAACTGAAGAGAAATATCATAGAATCAAGACTGAAGGGACTAAAGATGATCACCCAAATTTTGGGAAGCTGAGAAGAGGATAGGAGAGAAATAATGGAGAAAGCAAAAACAAGAAGACTAGAGACAGTCTAGTCTTTCATTTACCTGTAAATAACAGCAAATACAGAAATACCATTGAAGGACCAGAGAGGCAGGACAAAGAAAACAAACGAAACAATAGAAGTCAAAACCTGCACACATACACCTATTTAAAAAAGGAAAAAATATTTTTTAAAATTCCTCTGGTACCCCAGTTCAGTGTTAATTCCCTAATAAAAGCCAGAATCTGTCCTGAGAAATTCCACCAAGTCTGCAGTAGGATTACTGCTGAGTATGAGGCTAATATTGGCTACACTGCTGACTCCTTATAAGAGTTGATCATAGGTGGGGAGTGCCCTTGTCTATGGACACAGCAGCAAGAGCTGTTGACCTGGTGGTCATAGGGCAGGCAGTGGTGCCCTTTTCCTGCCCTAGGCTGCTTGTCTGCTTATACCACTGGTCACAGGGTGGGCAGCAGGGGATGTCCTTGTCCCATCACCAGCCAAAGCCTCTTGCCTGCTTGTCCCTCTGAACCATGTTGGGGAGGTGCCTTGTCCTGCTGCAGGCAAGGCTGCTTGTGTGCTTGTGCCCCCAATCACAGAATAGGGGCATGTTTCCAATCCTTTGTAGCTAAGGCTAAGACAGGCTTTTGGCGTCCACTGGATTAGAGTTTGGGTCCCAGCACCTTCTTGTCAGCTGAGTTCCCCCAAGTCTGTGCTTCAGCTGCCAGCTGTCTACTGTGAGGGGGCAGCCCTTCCCTCATTCCACATCCTTAGGTTGTCACTAAAATGACCCTGAGGCTGTTCTTACCTGAGTTGGAGCCCCAGGCACTTTGAGATAAAATGACAGTCCCACCCATCAGCTGCTACTCCTTGGGACCATGTGCCCAGGATGCCTCTCTGGTTCAGTCACCAACCGATGACTGTGGGGTGGTCCTCTTGGGAAACTGTCTCATGGTCTCACTGCTGCCTCCAGCTGCACAAGACTGTCAGGTCTCAGTCTCCCAATGAGGAGCCAAGTTGCTTTTGCTGCCCTCCTGCTACACCCTGTTTCATTTTCATAGCAACTAATGTGTTCTAGAATATCAGCAGCTTCAGAGTTCCAGGTGGGGTTCTCTGGGCCTGCTGTGATCTTAAGGCAGACTCTTTGCTTTCTGGCTGACTGTGTAAATGGTTGCTAAGTGTCAACTGTAGAGTGTGCCTGAGCCGTTACTTAGCCACTTGTTACATATCACCAAAGAAGACATGAGATTTGCACAGTGCCCTGTCAAGGAGGGAACGAGGCTCGATTTCCCTCAGAAGTGCTCTGAATACAATAACCTGCTGTACACATCCCACAGATGGCCTGCGCTGTGCTAATCAGGAAGCCAGGGGACCCAGAGGGCACTTTAGATCTAAGAACATGCTCCAGTTTCCATCTGTGCTGTCAGCAGGCAGGTGGGGGTGGCTGTGTGGACACTCATCAGCGTGTCAGCATGGGGGAAGCTGTTTCTGCCAACTGGCAGCAGACAGCCCTGATCAAATTATAGCTAACCAAACCCTTTACCTGTGTGTATGGATGTTAACATCCTTAAACTTAAAAAATAAAAAGCCTCTCATAATTGCTTAGAAAGAAAAGAAATAAAGAATAAATCAATTCTATCTCAATACTATGAAATTAATTGCCTTTTTCCTACTTACAGAACCTATACTTAGCAACAGTGTCCCAGGAGAGTACCCTATGTGTGTTCCAAGATGAGCTAGCTCTGAGATTCATGTGAGATAAAAATACATTAGGCTTTCTGAAAGCTAGCCTTCAAACAGGTAATAAAAGCACCCCAGGTGTGGCAGCTCACATTAGGGAGCCAGTCTTGTGAGGTTTACATCTGCACATATCACCTCACTTCACTGACCACACTTTCAGAGGGAGATACACCCCTTAACCCTGTTTCATGGATCAGAAAATTAAAGCACTTGGAGGATGGGGTAATTGTACTAGAGGTTCCACATGAGACTGAAAAGAACACTGCCTGCCAACAGTTGGCTGGCTCCTGAATCCAGCATCTATCTGCAGCTTATGGAGCAGGCACCTGGCTTTGTTTTGCTGGGAAGTCAGCATTCAGGTTCAGAGGGCTCAACACAGTGCTGCTGATCCTGCACCACTGTAAATGCCTGGGATTCCAGAGGTAGGACTAAACACCACCTCTTCCCAAGGTGGATCCCAGGGTGGATCCCAGGGAGTGTTTCAACACTCCCTAGACTGTTCCCCAGATCCAGAGCCCTTTACCAGTTCTTTGCAGCTTTCTGTCTCACCTGTTATTTTCTCTGTACTGCCCAGGCCTCTCCAGAAACTACGGAGTACAAAGACAGAGGGAGTTCGGATGACTTCATCTTGGTATCAAAGGAAGATGAAGGGGGCACTGCCAGGAGGCCCTTCTCAGGCCAAGCTCAGCCTCTTCGCACCCTCAGAAGCACATCTGGGAAAAGCCAGACCCCAGCCTGCTCCCCACTGGTATTCTCAGATCCACTGATGGGTCCAGTTTCAGCTTCCTCCAGCAACCCCAGCTCCAGCCCTGATGATGACAGCAGCAAGGACTCTGGCTTCACCATTGTGAGCCCTTTGGACGTCTGACCACCAGGATCCACCCAACTCCTCAGTGGCCTGAAGGCTTTTCCAATGCATATGCGTCTGAAATTGGCACTTCTTTCCCAGCATGCATTTGGCATTGGTTACAGCCCTTTAGAGCCCTTTCAAGAGAAGCAAATATGGCCAGAGTCCACAGAGCTGCTGGGTTCACCAAAATGTAGGCAGAGCCTTCTGGGTCGTCATTTGACCCATACACTGCCCTTGATCTGAATGAGAGCTGGATTAAGCACTCAGCACCACACTCACTGTCAGATAACCCCACACTTAGTATCACTCCTCCCCTCTTCCTTCCTCCCCAACTAAGAGGATCTGACCACTCTTATCAGTGATACTTAGGAGGAGGAGAAGTTAGTTTCATATCTCCTCTCCCTCAGCACATCAGCTACAGAAAAACTGGCTAACAGCAAGAAAAAAATTACTCAATGAAAATCTATCTCAGCCTATTTCTTTCCTATCTTGGGAAGCCACATAGTAAAACCAAGTGGAATCAATCAATTAGACTAAGTAGATTCCAGGGCTAGGAAAAACCTATTACTGATGTCTCAAAGTTATAATGATCTTTAGAAGGGTCTAAACTTAGGAATCATACTTAGGTATGATTTGGTGTAATATTTTTCACTAGCTAAATAACACATTTATAGTCCTCAGGCTTCAATATACTTTAACCATTACCATTTTTCCTAAAATAATTGTAATTTATCTTTTAGACTCTTTCCTAGCCAGGAAAAAAAAAAAAAAAAGATCAGTTAAACCCAGTCTTGGCTGCACTGATGTCAGAAGTTGTAAGAATATTACTATCCCTAACTTAGATTATGGGATTAAAAAAAACTTTTAGTCAGTTTTCTGGCAGTTTCTCTAGTTTCAGAGCTGTATTTATCTATTAAGTGAGGAGTACGGAGAAACACCCATGGTAGATCCATCCATGGCCTTAAGGTAACAGACAGAGAATTAGACCTAGAGCCCTTTCCAGGGAAGCAGGGCTTCCTACAAAACATTCCAGATGCTCAGAGGATGCAGGGTTTCTACATAGCCCTTTCCCTTTCTGAGATTCAGTTAGGAATTGTGGGTTCTATGCTAGCTTGAATTCTGCATCCTGGACCCCTGCTGGGACCAGGTCAGACATGCAGTGCCTTCCTGAGATTCAGCACAGATGTTAGGCTTTGCCCACCTCAGTTGGCAGCTTAGGAAGCCATGATAGACATAAAACAGCCCATGATTGCCCTCTCTCCTTAAATGAGGAAAACTCTGGAAAGAGCACCTCACCTCACCTCCTGGGCAAGGCACGGGGCAGGGTTGCTTATCAACACAGGGCCCATTCCACCTTCTTCAGGGAGTCATGGCCCTTGCAAGGAGGACTGGCTCTCTGGGCCTCTTGGAGAAAGGTGGGGCTTCTGAGCAGTGGTACTCTTCGTGATACCTGTAAATAAAAGATAGGAGTGTTTATGCCTACCCACTGCTCACCATGTATTTCCTACAGACAAATGTGACAGGAACATCATTTCCCACTTGATCTCCAAGGAAATGAGATGACTCAGCTACTGCAAAGTAAGTTCTAAGTGGTTCTTCAATCTGCTTTTAAATTCTGGCAAAAGAAATCTCATTATATTAAAGATGAATAACCACTCCAGTTTTGCCAGCTACCAGAGCTATCTAGCCTTCCCCAGTTGGGCAGTTGCTTGGCAGGTACACTAACCTCTCTCTCCCTCTCGCTCTCCCTCTCCCTCTCCCTCCCCCTCTCTTTCTCCCTCTCCCTCTCCCTTCTTCCCTCCTTCCCTCCCCTGCCCCACCCCTCTGAGTATGTTCTTATAAAGTAAGAGACTTGGTAAGGTCCAAAGCCCCGACACTGTGTTGTACCAGTGCCAGTTTGTGCCACAGTTGCTGTCTCACAAAGGATTTGCCTTCAGAAGGTGTCTATGCTCAGTTCTGTGAATGTAGAACTAAGCAGCCAGGGCCCCTGGACAGAGACCATGACGAACCACAGAATTGGCTGTCTCCTTCAAGTTAGACCACTATCATCTGCTCACCCCAGCATCTCCTTTGCCCCAAGATCTGAGGGTCAGCAGCCACCCACCAGGCCAAAAGGCTATAAGCTGGTTTCTTGCCATTGGTTGGGCATTTAGTAGTCACCAAACACTTCCCAGCCCTGCCCATATGTCAGGGCAGGTCCTCTTCCTTCCTTCATTACTGTGCTGGTGCCACATGAGAACTGAGAGTTTCACTCAGAGGTGTTGCTTCTAGCCCTCCGATAAACTCACCCACTCAGAGAAAGAACTTGGGGAGGGAGAACTGGGGCATGAATACACCAGTCCCATTCGCATAGAGTTAGAGCACTGTAATACTGGGTTGTTTCTTTTTTGAGCAAGGGTCTCACTATGCAGTTTAGGCTGGTCTGGAACCCAATATGGAGCCCAAGCTGGCCTCAAACTCATGGTGATCCTCCTGCCTCAGTTTACCAAGTGCTGGGATTACAGGTGTGCACCACCATGCCGGGCTTAATATTGCTTTTCTAAGTGACTTTTTTATTCTTTGGTGAGCATGTTTATTGTTTGCATTTTTGTTAGTTACAGTGCTATTAAAGAGTGGTTTTTTTTCTGTTTTTTTAATCAGGTACTTAAGTTTAAGTGCACTTTTTTTATAATTTTTGATATATGAAGCCTTTTTTAAAAACAAATATGGTAATCAATGGAATGCCTCATTTTAAGCAGTTAAATAAATTAAGTTTAATTCCTATTTTCATCTTTTTTTTTTTTTTGTATGGATGTCCCTGTGTCTCTCTTGCATTCCACTGATCAGACTGGAAATCTGAGTTAAAGTTTATCTGCTAAATTACTACTAGAGAATCAAATGCATACTTACTTTGCCTTATTTCATGTGTATGTTAAGAGGGTTGTGTAACACTGTAAAAATATAATTATACTGAGTTATTCTTGGAAAAATGACCTCTCAGTTTTCAGTGCTAACTATAATCTGGAAAGAAATAATAGCACTGCAGAATAAACGTGGCTCTAAAAATAAGCCAGAGCTTCCCTGTGACTTGCCTTCTAACCTGACAGCGTCGTATCAGTCCTCACAGCACCAAGGCAGCTGCTGCAGGGGCTGAGTGCCGCCCTTCACAGAAGCACCAGTTCTGTGTGGCAGACGTGAGGAGCACACACCACGCTCTGACCGCTGTGCTGGCTCCCAGTGATAACCTGTCACACCTGACCCATATTTACTTTGTTTTTCTTTTAATGTTTTCTAAGAAACTGGCCCCTGGGGGATCATTACCGAGTAAGAACGTGTGTGAGGATGTATGCTCCAAATTCAGTCCCATCGCTCTTCCCTGGGTACCCTGCCTGGCCCTGCCTGTGTGACCAAAGCAGCAGCAGTGGGGAGGAAGCCGGAGAGCAGGGTGCAGAACGGATTGGGCTGAGAACAGCAGCCAGCAAGCTGGGCTCCTTCACACAGGACACACTGCCTTTTCAGTGTTCACTTTCAAAAGGTCTTTTTATGGTGTTGATAACATGTGAACAGGGCAGAACCCACTTTGATACAACAGTTACAATAACTTTCCCCAGAGTGGCATGGCCCAGTGGATTTATGGAATACTGAGTGGTGCCATTTTTATCCTGCCACTTTTTCTTATCTATCCTTATGCTGTCACTCATTCTGATTTAAGAAATGATTTATCTTCTTGGAAAAGTGATCCCATTCAGTACAGTTATAATAAAAAATAATGTGAAATTGAGATTGTGGCATGACTTGTACCAGGCATGGGTGGGCACAGGGTTGAGTAGGCCATAGACTATACCAGCCCTGGGCCAGAGGCCAGTACAACTTCATCTCCCACTGCTAGGGACCTGAAATCCTGATTCCCTGCCTCTAACCCAGGTCAGTAGCTGAACTTCCTGGGCCTCACTTTCCTTTCTATAAACTGAGCATACTGCTAAGTGACACGAGGTCACATGCTTGGAGTCTATCAGGCAGGAGGTGAAGAACAGGGCAGTTTAAAGGAAGTCATGGGGTCCTACTCTTTGGTTGACAGTCATGGACCCCAGATGCTACCCTGAGGCAGTCCTTCTTGGCCTACAGACCCTAAAGATCATTTTGAAAGGCAGCTTTCCACCCTTCCCCCACTATGGTCCACAGTACCATGCTTGTCCTATCACCCAAATTATGTAGTGTTTGATGAAAATCTGTAGGGTGAGGACAAAGGAGAGGCAGCAGGAGTCTTACTCCAAGTCTTAAATGCAACTAGAAAGGGTGGCAGAGCCAGGAAGCTGCCAGCACTTAGAATGTATGCATAGCAAAGGGTATCCCCTCCTGTAGGTCACAGCACTTCCTGCATAGACCCCTGAGATGGGTCTGGTCCCTATCTCAGTGCATCCTAGTGAGGGTGAAATGGGTTTCTCCACCTGGTGACAGCCACACATGTACCAGAAGCTGCCATTAGCTTCCATGTCTCGAGGCTAACCAGTGCTGCTGGAGCTTCTGTCCTGGCTGCACCTCATTTCTCACCTGGAAGCAGCTGGGACAGATGATTGTTGGCTCCTTGCTATCCATCATCCCCTTTCCTCACTGTGCCCAGCCCCACCACCATCTTCCCACCAAGCTGTATGCATGCTTCTTCCTATGCTCTGACCTCAATCTATACCAGCACATGACAGCCTCATTGGGCAGGCTGTTCTGCCAGACTGGTCCTATCCTCAGGGCCATGTTTGGGAGGTCCCACTACTGTATTTCACCCACCTTCCTTTGGGCACCTAACAAATTACCCAAGACTTTGTGCCAGAATGCAGTCATTCACTGTGCTTGTGTCAAGGATTCAGGCAGGACACAATGGGGAGGATCTGCCACTGGTGTCCGGTTATCTCACTGGTATTCTGTTATCCCAGACCTTGGAAGAGTCAAAGGCTAAGGTCTGGTTTGTTCACTCAGATGCCTGAGCAATATTGGAAAGGAGAGGAGAGAAAGCATGCATAAGCCCCAGGTGGGAGCTGCTTCACCTTTTACAACCTGCCACAGAGGTCCCACACCATCATTTCTGCCATATTCTAGTCACCACAGTGGTCACAAGCCTAGTCAGTTCCAAGGGAAGGGAGGCATAATAGGCCTCCCTTTCTTGATGGGAAGGGCAGTACTCCAGAACATGTGAGCTAGAAGCACTGTGGTGGCCACTTTGGGGAACCACACCTTACCATGCTCTGATTGCAGGCTTCCCTGGGTGGCCATAACATCTAGAGGGGATCTAGAGGGGTTTCTAGCTGTGCTCTTTGGAACTGCTCAGTCCTCTCCCCCAGAAATGCTTATGTGATACTTTTATCAAGTAATCCTGAACTGTGATACTCCTCCCATAAAAAGGCCCTTGAATTTCAGCTCTGAGACTTCCTAACCAACAGAATAATGTGGAGGACACAATGCAACACAAATTTCCAGTTCCCTGTGTCAAAAAGACTAGTCATTTGTACTTTCCATCTCACGCTTACTGGGCCTTAGGGAAGCCTAAGAAGTTTTGTGGGGCCTCTGTGGAGAAGACAATAACAGCTTATAGCACTACCTCAGCAGTGAATCCATGCAGCTCAACCCTCGCTGTGCAGGGCAAAGGAATGCTCACTGAACCCTTCCAAATTACAGTCACGAGCAAACAAAATGCTCATTGCTTTAAGCCATTAATTTTTGGGAATGGATTATTATACAGTAAGGATAACTCTCTTTCTGATGGCCTACCTAGCAGGATTCATCTCTAAATTCCATCTTACAGGTGCATTCAGAATGTGTATTTCCCTTCCTGAAAAGAAGACCAGAGTCATACTCATTGGCTCCTATTTACCAAGCACTTAGTACGTGCAAAGCTCTGTACTTGGAGCTGGAAGCACAGTGAAAGGATAAGGTCCCTGGGGGGACCAACCAAGAAAGCAACAAGCCAGCCTTCATGGAAAAGGGCATGAGCTGTGGGCACACCAGGGAGCCAAAAGTCCACCTCTCCCATGAGCCTACTGGCAAGCAGGCTTAGAATGAAATGTCCAGTGCTCCCAGCCCCGTTAACAACCAGATGATTTTGTGGTCAGCCTGAGTTGATATCAACTAAGGCACATAAAGCAGCTAAATGCTTTTATTGTTGGGTTGATTATGCTGACCTGGAGCCAGAGGTCTGAGCATTTCTTGGGAGGATGATTGTATGCAATATAGCAAATATGGAGGATTTAATTTTATCTTCTCTTTGAAGGCAAATATTGTTTTCACTGTTTTGCTTTGTTCTGATTATTTTGCTTTATTCAGTATTCTGTTTTGATAGGTTTTATAGTGTTCTGTTTTTGGATTGATTTTATTATACCTGATTGAGTGGACAACTATTGTGAAGATAACAAGATATATGATGGTAGCTATTATTGTTATCCCAGTATCCTACTCTGAAGTTCTGTACCAATTTCACTGCATTGCCTTGGTTGGCTTTGTTCTTTCTTGTTTTGTTGATAAGGTCTCTGTAGTGTTTGATTAATTGTGTCAACCTGAGACATTTAAAAGGTTAAGTAAATGGCTTTAGCACCTCTACACCCAAGGGTGTAGAAGAAAACCCATGGCTCATCACCTGGAGGTATAAAAGAAAAGGAGGAAAGACGAATGCATTCCATTCTTGGGAGAAGCTCCAGTCTTCACCTTTGGTTTGGACCTGTCTCCTGGCTTCCAGTGTAGACTCTTCAGCTTTCTGACATAGATTATTCAGCCTTTTGTTGTACAGCCTTTGGCCTTTTGTCACAGATCCATCAGCCTGATGATGTGGACATGCACAAGACACTAGGGTGAACTCGAGACCTTGTATTGAATCCTTCGGCTTCCAGTGTGTAGACACCTTGTGCACACTTCCTCATCTGACTCTGTGGCCGACCATCATAAGTCAATCTTGTTGTTTCTTTTACATCTGTATATCTCATGTTATATCTGTTCTCTCCAGTAAAACCCTGACTAATATAGATTTTGGTACAGAGAGTGAGGTCATTTGCTATGCCTCTATCTGACCATGTTTTTCAAGAGGCTTTGGAAATATCTTTCAGGCAGAATTTGAAAAGGTTCAGACATGTCACCTGGATGCATAGAGTGGGAACAGCTTAGGCTGTTCTATAGAGGAGATTCTGGTCAGAGCTCAGGAGACCAAAGGGCTGATAGAAAGCCTGATGGTAAAGACCAAGCTTGGGAGGTTTCTGCTGCGAAGAAGGACTACACTGGTTGTTGGACTCCCCAAAATGTGTGTTATGGCTTGGCAGAAAGTTTGTCTGCATTTTGCTCATACCCAGACACTTTACTTGAGAATGAGATTAAGGGTAACCGGCTGATTAATCTGGCAAAGGAAATTTCAAGGCAGTCAAATATTGAGGCTGTGGCATGGCTATTGTTGGGAGCTTTCAGCCAGATACATGTTGCAAATCAAGAGCAAAGAGCCCAACGAGATAATTTAAAACACTGTGTTTGGGGGGAAAGACTCCAATAAAGTTGTAGATTATAAAGACAAAACAGACTTTGCTAAAACCAGAGAAATAAAAGATGGCCATGGGGCATCCCAGAAAACAGTAGGTCTCCACCCTTTGCAGCCTCAAAACTACAAAATTAAAAAATTTGCTCAGAAAAAAAAGTTACAGAGCACTATGCTCCAAAATGGCGACAGAGGCCACACAAGTTTCCAAAATAGTGATTGCCACATGAGGTCCCAAAATGGCAGCAACATAGAAAAGCTTTTCCTTATAATCAGGTTCACAGAGCTCAGTGATCCAAGCAATTGACCCCACAGCCAAGGGGGGGAAAAAAAAAGCCTGGCTACTGCTCCAGCTGGCAGAAAATCTTGGCAGCATCCACATGGCACTGATTTTAGGTGTAAAAAAATGCACAAATTCTGAGGGTAAAATGGCTTCCACCTTGATTGCAAAAAGGTTGGGAGGCTAAGCAGAGTACCCCTGAGAGGGCAATATATAAAGATGTAAAGGTAGCTTCTTTCAAACCAGGAAACTCAGCTGGCAGCTGGAATGAGTCCTGCTCACCATCCA